TCCGACGATGACGTCGTCGTCGTCGACGACGACGACGACGTCGACGACGACGATGGCGATTTAACATGTAGCGTTAGCATGGAGCGCGCGCGCGACAGCCGTAATGCAAGCTGACGTCTCCGCGCGTCCAATCATAATTATTATTCACGGACTCAATTAGTGCGTCACGTCGTTAACGAGCTTGGCCGCGGCGCAGCCGGACTGTAGCTTCGATTTAACAATGTCGCTTCATCGAGGTCCCGTGCGCTGCTTTGATAATTAATTAATTAATCCGTCGTTAGGGCCACGCACTGCGACGCCCGCTGATCAATTGTCACGACACTTCCGCTACTTTTGTCCGCATAGATGCGATCGCGAAGCTCTAATCTCGCTTCATTCATACTCATTGTCCATTGTCCGCGGTTAATCCGCCGGGTCGGCGCGGCGGCGCGGCGGCACGGCGGAGCGACCGGCCGGGCGATTTTACTCGGCCGACAATAAGCAACAGAATTGATAAACGCGCGCGGCATCGAAAACGGCGGCGCGCGACGAATGACCTCGAGTTTCGAACGTGATGAATTTGTGCGCGACAAATTTTTGCGAAGCTGCAAATCCGCGCTATGTCACGAAATCGGGCAAAAATTCGCAGTCTTGTTCATGCAACGACGAGCCCGGTCAAAAGTCACCTCGCGCGCGATAGTGTGGAAACAAAAACCGTAACAATGTTGATAATAACGAACTGCGGTAATTGACAAGCTCATGGAGAACTTCCGCGAAACTGCAGAATTCGCGCGCTGCGCGCGCGTGCGTGTGGCAATCGGGAAAAATTTCATAAACTTTCATGCGCGCGACGAGCTCGATTTTAAAAAATAATCGTTTCGCGGTGCGATGACGCGATGACATCGATGAAAACGGCAACAGCGGTTGAGCTAACGACAGACCGCGGTGAACACTTGTGTGAAACTGTGGAATTCTATGGTCGCGCAGAAATCGGCAGAAATCCGAGCGAAATCTTCAGCGTCGTTTCGCACTGTAACAGCGACGACGCGCGCGTTGTGATATAATCGGGCCGCAACGTTACACGAAGCGCAGCGAACAAACTTGCAGGCCAAGCTGCACACGAGTCGTTTGAGTGCAAATTGCCGGTCAATTGTTGAAAGTCAGTCGGCGCCCAAGGGTCGGTCGGAGTTGACGGCAGGGCGCAGGGCTCGATAACGGGTTCGATGATAGCGAGGAGACAAGAAGCCAGTCGCGAGTAACGCTCGCGCCGACTGATCGAGCCAGACGATTCAAGGGCCGGTTGCTCCAACTTCTTGATAAGTTAACTGATAGTTCAATCATGTGTTTATCTTTGTTCTTCCTTCAATTTAACCCTTTAACGCCCGATCTTTTTACAAGTGTTTTAAGAATAAAATTTGAGTTTTTTGAGTTTTTTTGAACTGAGGCTATAAGTAGCGATAACCAAAAAAATACCCGAATTTTATATCTACGAAACATTACCTTTCCATGCAGAAACTACTCCCAGAAGCGAAAAATACGCCTGATCGGTTAAACTTTTTTTTTAGTTTTAATAATTTTATATCATACTTAATGGTTGGAAAAATTCCTCGAAACATAAAACTCATATTCAGAACTTGATTTTTATTTACCCGAAATGGAACTGCATAAAGCGTCGAGAGATGCAGAGGAGAATTTTGCAGGTTCTGCAAATTATTTTTGTCCTGCTTTGCTTCCCTTTCGAGCTGCACAATTGACAACGTCAATTTTTTACAGTTTTCCTTAACAGGCATGTGCTTGTTGTAACGCTTTCTGATGTACAAGAAACGAAAACTAACAATCGACTTTTGAACGGAAAATGTAAGGTAATAATAGTCTACTTCTGAACGATAAATAAATTTGTATTTTTTTTGTAAATATAACGGTAAAAATGATAAACATGGACACACTCAGAGATGGTTATTCAGATGGAAAAACCGTGAAACAATTACACGGAAAATCAACATCAATCGTTCACTTCTGAATAAATGAGTACACGAGGTTCCCGCTTTTCGTTTTTTGGTTTTCGTTAGTTTGGTTTTTTTATCGTTCGTTTTTTGTTTATTGGTAAATATGACTTGGATCCTAAAAGCATATACGAAATGAGCAACCTATACAGAGAGAAATGAAGGATAATCTATACGACATAACTCTGATAATCAGCTTGACATTTTTCAGCTGAAACTTTACTATATTTGTGAGTGAAGTTTATCATTCAGAGCGTCAAGCTTACTATTTCAGAAGAATATCTTATAGGTCAGCATTTAGATAGTCAATCGTCCCTTCATTTTCCGCCGCATAAAAAACTGTAGTTCACCAGATTTCACGAAAATAGGTTGATTTCTTGATTCTCGTGACCACCATATTGGATTCCCCATTTTGAATTTCTGTATTCTTTTAATTTCACATTTTGCATCTGAGAAAGCTTCCAAATGTATAAAATTATAACAGACATCAATCTATTCATTTATAGTGCACTTCTGAATGTCAGTAACAATGCTAACTACGCTAACCTACTTGGAATTTGACAAAATATGTTATCGTTAAAACTGAGCTAAAAACAGACTAATCTACATACAATCTACATACAATCTATATACTATCTTTCAGAAGAAGAATTCACCTTTACGGTGCAGGTGCAAAGAAAACGAAAATATCTTCTTTTTCGACCAAGTTATGGATTCTTAAATGCGTTTCTGGTAACTACAGTTACCAGTAGGCGTTAAAGGGTTAAACGAAGACGGACATGATTTAAGTATCAGTTAACTTACCAAGGAGTTGATGGAACAACCTGCTCCAAGTCCAATCGAGAGGCGCGACAGTCAGCGTCGCGATTTGTAACGCGACATTTTTGAGCGCTCGCAAGGGTGATAGGCCCGCGCGATCGAGTACGACCCCGGCGATCTCCTCTCGCGCGAGAACTCCGAATCAATCAAAGCACACCCGAGGGATGCCCGAGGGATGAAAGAACAGCGGGACAGTTGGAACAAACAATGGCCGACACGCGCGCGCTCGCACGGCCGCGCGGAACGTTATCCTTCGGCCATCGATCTCAGACTCGCGCGAGCTCGCTGACGCTTCGGAATGAGCAATTTCGTGTCCGCATGCGACCGTAATGAAGGGTACATCTCGAATTTCGCAGCGCGGCAACGACGGCTGCAGCGATTGTGCGCTTTCGTCACGAGCGAAGCCGCGCCGCGGACGTTATAAATTTCAAGCCGACCAGATTCGCGCGCATCGATCGCCGTGCTCGCCGTTGTAAGCGCACTCTCGCCTCGTTACAAGCTGCGTTACGAGCCCAGTCCATGCACGCGATAATTGTGCGTCCGCGCACTGTCCGCGCGTGCCGACGGCTTCAATTAGTCACGTTCGCGTTTACGGATGTTGTTTACAAGTGAGCTGCACGCTGCACAGTTCTCTTGGCAAGAGAATCTATGGGAAATAGAGTCGTATCAATGCTACGTCACAGTATAAGAAAAAACAGTACTCGGCTCACTCGGTGGCGGTGCTTTTGATCTCAGGTGCTACAAGACCGCCATGTTATTGTGCGCGGGTTATAATTATAATTTGAATGACAATGAACAGGAGCTGAAACAGATTTATTACTGTTTTTTCAATTGACTTACTGTCAAATCTATAATATACCTTATAAAATAATATAAAAATATGAAATATTAATAATATGTTAATAATATTATAATTAATGATATATAGCATATTACTAATTATAATATAGAAAGACGTATATATATACAGGGTGCTAAATTTCAAACGAGAACAGTCTCGAAAAAAATCTCGAAAACTAAATGATATTGAGGTCCGCCTTTTTCTTATATCGTATTGTTTCGAAGGGGACATATTTTGATTAAAGCAAAATTTAACACTTTGCAAATTTAAATTTGCACTTTTGCAGTTTATTATACAACATTTATACCCACTTCTTTCATTCATTTTACTGACTTTAATAAAATAACGATATTATATTAAAAATTCGGTCATATGGTTAATCATGGGCTTACACTTACACATTTTGACAGCTATTGGCCGCCATATTGTCCATATTGTCGGTTGTGCAGTTCGGTCATGCGCGACAAACGACCGTTCGCACTATTTTGTATTGAGTGAACCTACTGTTCTTTCTTATACTATGGCTACGTATTAATTAATTGTGTAAATTCCGCTTCCGCGGAATGACCTCTCGAGCGTCATCTCAGGGAACACATTATCCGGTATTTTCAGATAAACAGCAGAAGACGAGAACGCGTCTTTCGCGAGCGTCGGCGCTTTTCCCTCGCGGCTTGTCGCAACTCGCGTGAAATGCAGAAGGAACATGCATCTCGGACGAGACAATTCGTGTCGCGGTTTCAAGTTTTCCTTCCCGCACGGCAACAGCGGCAGAGAGAGAGAGAGAGAGAGAGAGAGAGAGAGAGAGAGAGAGGGGGGGACGGTTTGGAATTATTCGTCTAGACACGCGATGTAGGATCTCATGAATTCTGGTTAAGCAGCGGACGAATTTTCTCGCTGAGAGCGAGACTGGACGCGTGTGAAATCGTCCCAAGACGCGGCCGGTGCGAATTATCCGCGTAATGATTATGCCGCCTGCGGGAGGGCAGATTGCTGCCGCAAGACTGCGCATACGACTGCGATCGCTCGAACGCGACCTTTCACGGAAACGTCGGCGCGCGTCCGACGAGCTTGAGGTTCGCTCGGTCTGAAAATTTGCAAATTCTTTTACATTTTCTCCGTGCGCGAAGCTGCTAGCTGAGGGCGCGACGCGGCGGAAGAACTCCGCTCGCGGCGAGCGGGTTGTTGCCGATCGCTCCGAAGGCTCCTCGAAGTACCTCGAGACGCGCTATTAATTAACTTAAGACACGATCGGAGCACTCGCCGTTTTAATTAAGCGAAGCGACCGCGCGCGCGCGCGCGCGCGTCTCGCCGGAGGACAGGACAACCTTGTTACAGATAACTTTTCTTTTTGTCCATAGGAGAAACATGAAGTAGCGGACAACGGCGCACCGTTGTCCCCGTCCTCCCCCCGGCCCCACCCCCACTTTCCCCCGGCGGGGCTTTCCAGCGTCTGCAAGAGGAGAAGTCGGCGACATGGAGAAATACGGCGTGGATTTCCCGAAACGGGAGTGGAGCCACAGGCTGAGCCTTCGCGGCAGCCGAAGGACGCACGAGGTAAATCGTTCTGTCGGGGATCGCCCTTTCTCTCCTGCTTTATCATCCGCGGCGGGAGGAGAGTGGTACACGCACGCACGATAACGAGGGAGAGCGAGGGTGCCGGAGGCTCGCGAGGTGCGTTCCCGCGCTCGCGACTACGCTCCGACTGGCCGAAACTCGGCAAGCACGCGTGCATTCTCGCCTGCATTATTCATAAACGCAGCTTCCCGCCGACTAAACATTTATGCAGACGCGCGATATGGCGCGAGCCAGCGCCACTTGAGCGTGCGCTGCTCTCACGTGTCGCCGATGTAACGAAATGTCACTGATAAAAGGACGAATTAAACAAATGCGCGCGCTCGCCGCATTACCATAAACCGGCGGGCGTAATTGCTTTATTTCACGGTGTCTACCGACACCGATAATTACGCAGCCACCACGGATAAAACTCGACCGTGTGACTATGCGTATCTGCAATTAAGTTGATGCTGTTATCACTATGTATTAATATTAATGCCAATAAATATATATGTCCGAAGGACGCACCGTCATTTTACATCTACGCGCATGCATAACGAGCGCGAGCGCGCGCGCGCGCGCGCGCAATGCAGTTATGAAAATCGTTATTACAAAATGAGACGAGCGGCAATAACAACAGCCTTTTGCGCAAAATTTACGTCGCGCAGCCTGTCATGAAAACGCGAAAACACGCGCGGGGATTCGTGCGTAGCCTGAAGCATCGTTTTCTCGTCGAACGGGCCGGGTCGGGAGAGAGAGAGAGAGAGAGAGGGAGGGAGGGAGGGAGAGAGAGAGAGAGGGAGAGAGAGAGAGAGAGAGTGACGTCATCGCGCGTCGTCGTAACGACACTTTCGTTCGTTGCACGTGTTACGCGCCAATTGCCCCGGCGGATCAAGGCCCGATGGATATTTTTTCGTCGCGAAGAACCGCGAGGGGAGGATGATCGATCTCCGGCGGATGTAACCCTCTCATTACGGCTCCACGAGATACATATATATTCGGCGGGATAACAACGTGCCAGGTGGTGCGTTAGCAACCCCTCGCGGGCCACAATACATCGCACGCATACGTCGGGGACAACGGAGACGTATGGCGCCCGATGCTCGGCGTGTTTAGCATTTCATCCGCGTTTCGTCAAAAGACAGCGAACGTCCATTAGCGCGCGTCTCGCTCGTTTTATTGTCGGCGGTTATATGTTCGAGGCCGGCGGGGGGGGGGGGGGAGCGACTGTGTCGAAGTTTCACGTCGGCAGATACGAATGTGTCTTCGGTTGACTTTCGCTCTGAAATGCACAGCGCGTCGGATTCACCGCGGCTGATCAGCCTGACTCGTAAAAACGCCATCGTAATCTCGTATTACGCGGACGGGTGGAGAGACATTTCAGCTCACCGTGTCTTTCTCTCCCCTCTCTCTCTCTCTCTCTCTCTCTCTCTCTTTCTTGCTTTCTTTCTACTTCACTCGCGGCTACATCGCGATTTAATGCTCCCGCAGCGAGCGCTGCGACACTTCAGCCGAGGAATGCGCGTAATGCCTTAATACTCACTCGGGCAAGTATTTTCCGAGCAGCCCGTGAAAAACAACCCCCGCGACAACTGCATTTTGTCCCGGACGCGCGTGTAATCCAACGGCCGGTGCACACAGCTAACCGCGGGCCGCGCGTGAACACAGGTACGCGCGCGCAGAACATGCATGTGCGGGATATCGCATATGAGACGTTCCTGCGTGCAAAAACTCGCCTTAAATGCATTTCACGCCGCGCGATTCCATTCGCGCCAGCGACGCGGTGAAATGCTCGCCGCCGATCGATTAACGCGCGCGCTTCGTAACTCGTCGACATAATGATCTCGCATTCCACGGAGAAAGCAAGAGAGAGAAAGAGAGAGAGAGAGAGAGAGGAGAGAGAGAGAGAGAGAGAGAGAGAAAGGAAGAGAGGGAGCACGGCGCAGGAGAAATTTGCGAAAAGCGTAAAAATGAGGGGGCGACGCGCGTCTTGCTGTGGACGGACAATTTCGCGCCCGGCAACTCGCGTCTCGTTTCGCCGCATCGTATTTTCGTAGCGTCGCGTCTCCCGAGTGCATCCCTGTTATTCTCCGTAATTACGCACGCACTGCGCGCTCGCTTATCCAGCGACACGCGACGCAAAACTGCGAGCGATTAATTTCCGCATTATCTCGGCCCTTCCCGTCCCACGATATTGCGTCCCGTGATAATGAATTATTCTACATAACGGTCGCGACAAATTGCGCTTTTCCCATTTCTCCCACGAGCGCGCATTCTTTTCTTTCGTTCGTGGGTGCATCCAGCTGGCGCGTAAATGGCTCTTTTTAATCTTTCCGCCGTGATACGTTTTCCATTCTTTGCATTCGTCCGCCGGTCACGTACGGACCGTTTATCGGTGAAATTGCGCAAGACGTGCTCTTCACTCGCGGTTTCACTGCTATGTGTGTACGCGTGATGTACATTATAAGATCGATTTATACGCCTTCTTTTCCCCTACCCTGCTTTCCGCCACCCCTTCCGAGAGACCGCTGCTTCGGTGTGCCGCCGTATTCGCCGATGTATTCGGCGCAGCATACTTTACGCCGACTACGCCGGTGGATTACCATTAGCGCTGTTCCCTTCGCATTTCGCAATTCATCGTATTTTGTGTTCACTCTCTCATATTTCGCGCGCTAATTTAATTTGCTAAAAATCGTACGTTTATTAGCCGCCAGAATATTTTTTGTCCAGAGCGACGATATAATTATATGGCGATGTGACCGGCGTGTGTCTCCAGGCACTCTCTTTAATTATGCATGCCGTGTTCTGTTAATAAAGCGAGTGTAGTCACTTGTCCGCGAAAAATTCAGACTCTCGAGTCTGGCCGCAAGGTGAGACGGTGTCCGGTCAATTTCACAATTTCTACACTCTTACGTCTGAATTTGTCACACCGCGCTCAGATGACCGAAATCAGTATAGGGTGGACGAGATGCGCTCCTTCGAGGAAGATTATTCGTAATACTTAGTAGAGATGTGCGCATCAAGAATTTTTGTGTCGAATCGAGTCGAATCTCATTTTTTAAATTCGAATTCGAATCGAATCGAGTGAGATCTAATCGAATCATTAAAAAATTTAACATGACTATTAAACATGCAAATAATGATGGGAGATTTTGAAATATGACAGGGAACATTAATATTGTAACGTCATCTTAAAGTAAAACATATATTTAAAAAATTAAAGTAGCTTATAATTAAGTCATTAATTATAAGTTGAGTTAATTACAAGTTAAGGCTTCAAATATAGAGACCCGGATGGCCCGTTTTGTAGCTGATGCACGCAAACGAGAATATACATATTTGATTCCTATTCGAATTATTCGGATTCGAATCATAGGGATTCGGACTCGAATCGAATCGAATCTAATGTAATTCGATTCGATTCGAGTTCGAATATGTCGCACTAATATTTAGCTCTAATATTTAGCATACCCTCCCCGTCGTTTACAAATGGCGCACGTGCACACGCTGTTGGAGCGAATAACGAACGTCTCGAGTCGGACGCGTCGAGAAAACAGGAGCGACATTAGCGGACGAGTCCGGCAGCTTGCATCCGCGCGGGCTTCTTTGACTAATCAGCAGGAGCCAAGTCCGCGGCCAAGTCGTCGTTGAATAATTTAAGAGCGCGACCCGCTCGCGACGGTAATTGCCGCAGTCGGTCGACGAGGAGGCCGAGTGGAGCTCGTAAACGCGTGATCGATTATGAAACGATGCTTTATGCAAGGCGAAAGAGGCTTAATTAGAGAGCTAATCGAAACGTACGGGCGAAAAGTTCGGGCCACTTCGTACGGAAATGTTGAACGAGTGTCAATATAGTGCGAGATCCATACGTATATATACATACGTATAGTCGGAACGCTAAATATAATTAGAGAGGTTCTTCTCTCTTTCTCTCTCTCTCTCTCTCTCTCGCGCGCGCGCGCGCGCGCGCGCTTCCTGCGAGTTTCCGTTTTTATTCAGCCGTATAATTTCTCGACCGAGAGTCTCCGCGCTTTTAATTTCATATTTTTTATATGTTTGCACACCGCCGGACCTTATACACATAGCAGGTCGTATAATTAACACCAAGCCCGCGCTGGTGCCACGGTATCGGTGTGTTCCGCGCGATCAACCGGACGTGATCCTTTTATTCAATAAATAGAAATTAATTCCGCCGTGCTCGCGGCGTGATTCAAGTTTAGCGACAAGAAAATGCGAAATGGATGCAATCATTGCGCGCAATCTAGGACAATCGATAACCGCGTCGATGTAAAGGATATTGCGCTAGTTTTCGCTTAATCAACGAAGTGCGATGCGTCGGAAGATGACAAAAAAACACACACACACACACACACATACGTGCGCGCACACAGAAAAATGAAGAAGCGCGCTCGACAAGGAAAGAGCGAAATTCCGCGGACGAATGGGAACAATACGCGCACGTTATTTTTTCTCCCTCTTCGTAAAACCCGCGAGCGCGCTTATTCGCGTTCGCGTTTAACGAGGACGCGCGCATAAATTGGAAACATTGGAAACGCGTATCGAATTCGCCGAATGGAAGCGCGACAAAGAAACGAGACCGGGTAGATCGGACGAACGAATTTCTCTCTTTGGATATTTTTTTCAAAATGTCATTAACGAAATCCGCGAGCGTGCGTATGTCTATCTGTCTATCTGTCTGTCTGTCTGTCTGTCAGAATGGCACTTGGCACGGCGGCCGGCGACGCTCAAGTGGTACATGTCAGCGGCTGCGCCGACACGAAAGTCGCCCGGCTCACGAAAGCGGAGTAACATCGGGCGGGGCGGGTTCCGTGTTCCTTCTGAGAATACCGTCAGTCACAATAGAGCAATTTCGGTAATGCGCGACATCGAAAAAGCACACGTCACGAACGTCGTCATCGGCGAGGGCCCGGCGAGGGAGTTGTCGAATCGCGCGTTTTCCCCGAGATACTCGATAAAATCATCCCCCGTCCCGGCCGACGACGTCAGACCAAATAAAGGCTCGACTGAATTACATACACTTTGATCCGCTTTAAGCGAAACTTCCTTCGAGCGAGAGACTTAAAAACGATATGATAATTGCGTTTGCTCTTAAAACTCGATATTCCGCCTCGCTCTCCTCACGGGAGGGAGAGGGGGGGGAGAGAGACGTCCCCGAAGATCGTTTTAATTTCATGCTCAGCACGCGGAATGCTAATTAAGCTGCGAGCGCGTAGTCGATCCTCCTCCTCGCCGCGTCCCGTGTAGGGGGCGGTACAATTAAATCAGCTCTGAATAATTTAGCGCGATTTGCTTGCGGATCGCGATAAAAGGCGACCGCTCGTACGGGAGGCACGTACGTGCACACGTATTTACGCGAGCTTGCACGCCTGTAATACCGAAGCTGCTCGCGCTTGTTCCGTTGTTCCGGCCGCGCGCACTTATGCACCGCTGCACAGAACGCGGCATCGAGAGGAGAGAGAGAGAGAGAGAGAGAGAGAGAGAGAGGGAGGGAGGCGCATTGGAGAGACGGCGCAAAGAATCGCGGAGGCGTAGAAAACGCGGAGGAATGGGAGCAGCGGCTTGTTTACGGGCTATGATTTCAATCCGCGTCCGTTCGGCAGGTTCGTCGTTCATCGATCCTGAAAAAGCTCCGTTGGCGAGAGCTGCCGCTACTCGTTCCGCAACGGCGACTCGTGTTCGCGTTATCGAGAACGACGACGGCGACGACGACGACGGTTACGCGATCGCGTGTGTGAATGGTTACGTGGTGAAATCCATGACAGCCGACACACTCGCGGATTTGCACAGCGTCTCCGAGTCACTTCGAGTCGGAAGTTTCAGCTCGGCTGGAATACCGAGCTGTTCCATACGGCAGCTGACTTTAGCGCGTTGACTACCACAGGACCGACAGCCCCGGTGTCGTGTAATATTGCATTATCGCAGTGATTTACGCATAAAACGCAAGCAAATTGCGCATGACAAGCGAGACATGTGCGGCCGCCGATCAAGCGACGAATATAGGGTGCATTTAATAATGTAAATTTTGCACGTTGCAGCAACGAGGTTCATGCGTGCGTAACCAGGAATTTTCTCACTTTTACGTACGGGCCTTCGTTATTTCTGCCATTCTCTTCTCTGTACAGTTTTTCAATATCGAGCAAAAATGTCACGTTGCGACTGAGACGACGCGCGATCGGCGCGGTCGATGGAAAAATGAAGTAAACGATTCTGGAAATCGCTCAGCTTTATCGGCGAACACAGAGCGCGAACAGAGAGCGAAGAGGGCGGGGGGAGGGGGATGAAAGGAGCGACGTGTGAAACGCTCGAGATCAGAGAAACAAGTGTATCTTGACGGGACTCTGACGCGACAGGTGTACAGCCTGCGGACGACGTCGTAGTATATTGCGCGACCTCGTCGCCTTCTCCTCCCCGCATTTCGCAATTTTCTCGCAAACTTGCGAAAATTCACGTAACGGGTGTCGACGACTTTCCTCCGACGTGGCTTGCTCTGTCGTGTTACGCTTGCCCCTTCCTCCGCTCCCCGCCCGGTCGTCTTGGAGAAAAAAACAAGAAGACACTTTCGCTGCTCGAGGCAACGTAAATAACGGTGACATAAGACTTTTTTCGAGCCGACGTTAAAAATATCCCTTCCGGCGAGGCAGAGAGAGAGAGAGAGAGAGAGAGACAGCGTCCCCGCGATGGCGGACATTGAATGGCGGCGTCGATATAATATTGTTTCGTATCGTTAAATTTTTCCCATGAGAATCTACGCGAGAATGTGCATGGAGCACGCGCGCTAATTCTGATATAATACCGGATTTCTTTCAAATAGGCTGCGAAAGTCCCTTATCTCGACCGGCTTGATTTCGCGCATTATTTCTTACATCAGAGTCGTAGCGATCGGAGATCATCGCCCGTCTACTTTCGATATATCCTGCCGACACATCTACCCGCGATTACGATACGCGTAATTAAGAAGATATGCGAGCGTTTCGCATCGCGCGCAAACGTACGTCCGCGTCGTGTTGAAATATCGCGTTGTGGATCGTTAAAAGCACTCGTTCTTATCGTCCACAGCAATTTTCGAGCTATCTCGGCCTCTTTCTCCCCTCCCCCTCTGTCTCTCTGTCTCTCGCACTCTCGTTCCCTCGTTCGTTTATCAGCCTCTGATAAAAGAGACATGATCTGATTACGAGCGTGTATTTCGCTAAGAAGATCGCTTTAATCAACGTCGAGTCGGAGACGCATTTTGCCAGTCGCCAGTCGTAACACGAGTCTCCTCTCTTTGTCCGGTCAGGGTGAAATCGGACCCAGGACAATAGCCGGGGTCCCAGGAGCCAGGGGCACCAGGAGATGGGCCAGTCTCAGGCAGCACGTGAGCAGCAATGACGGCGGCAAGCCCCGTGTCGAGTTGCTGTTCGATACGCCGGGCTCCAAGTCCACCACGCCGTCCTCGCAGCCGCACACCCCCAACACGCCGAAAACGCCGCACACCCCCATCAAAAAGTCCAACTGGGAGGTCATCGAGCACTTTACCGGCGCACCTCGTCCCTCCATCATCACGGTGAGTGCGCGTTTCTGCTCCTTCTGTTCTCTCTCTCTCTCTCACTCACTCTCTCTCTCTCTCTCTCTCTCACTCTCATTCTTTTTATTATCGGGAGCCGCGGTCCGAGAGTAAATTATTAACGACCCGAGTCGTGCGATACGGCACGGGCGCTCCGTTCGTACGCGCATCACGTTTCCCCATTACCGAACGGCGGGAGTCTTCAGCGGAGTGAAGTACGAATCGTTGAACAAAACGAACGTGGAAACAGGAAACGATGCGGAAAGGCGAAACCACTCTGCCGGATCCTTTTCCCTTTGATGCGCCTGCTCAATTTTCAAGATGGAGAGCAACGTGGCGCGTCACACACGGGACACGTACATTGCCGTCGGACATTGCCAATAAACGGCGCGCGGCCGGTTTGGTCGAGAGGCTACGACATGAATTCTGACCGCCAATCTGATTCTTCGATAGCTCTTCTCACTCGGCGGCTGCCGGGGCGCTGAGATTTTTCTCGCTTTACCGTGCGCCCAGGAAGAACCTCCGCAAAATGTGCCCGTTTTTCAGTCCCCGATTTTTAAATTAAATTTTATGCGAAATGACAGCTCATGATAAGACATTAATCACAAAAAAGTTTTACATTGAGCATACGATTGGTTTCAGAGATACAGAGGGTCAAAAGTAGTCACTACCTACCAAGGAAGTTTGACACTAATAACACGTTTTATCGCAGGAATTTTTGCGAAATTCAGTATCTATGGGTTCTTCGAGTTGCTTATTACGAATTCGATGTCAGATTTAAAAAATTCGAGATAACGGATGTAAAATATGGCGGACACAAATAGTGAAACAATTATTTACTTTTACTAGAACTGTTACGTTGTGGCTTTTTCGGCTAGCTGATTGCGAATTTTCTATCAGATTTACATTTATCTTCAGTGCAGGCGAGATGAAAAAGTTATCCAGCCAATGAAGGCAAGATAAAATTTGCAATAAAACTGTATCACGTTGTACGGAAACAAATGAAACGTCGTGAGCACTTTCAACTATTTCGGAGAGTTTTCATTTTTTGTGAAGAGTTAAACATTTGAGTCTTGTTTGATAATGAATGTAGTGTTTTCCTCTAATTATAATACTCAATACTTTAAAACCGTTAACTTCAGAACTGAATTTTTAGATAATTTTTATATCATTGGATATAATGATATGTAATTATAAAGAGTCACGGAAACTGCAATGAAAAAACACGTCTGCAATGAAAAATCTTCAAAATATAACAAATAAATAAAACTATCACGTTATCCTTTATGCATCATGTAACATATCAATTTGAATTTGATATTTTTTTTATGAAAAAACAATAAGAAAATACTTTTTCCACTCAAAAATTGTCATTGAAAAAATTACTTTCGAAAACCTAATAGAAAATTTGCAATCAGCTAGCCGTAAAAACCACAACATAACAGTTCCAATAAAAGTAAATGATTGTTTCACTACGTGTGTCCGCCATATTGCACTTGCCATTTTGAATTTTTAAAATCTGACATCAGATTTATAACTCAAAGAACCTATAGATAGCGAATTTTGCAAAAATTCGTGTGATAAAGCGTTATCAGTGTCATACTTTCTTAGTAGGTAGGTGACCACTTTGGCCCTCTACATCTTTGAAACCAATCGTATGCTCAACGTAAAACTTTTCTGTAATTAATGTCTCATCATGAACTATCTTTCGGCATAAAATTCGATTCCAAAATCGAGGACCGAAAAACGGGTAAAAAATCAACCCTTCTTGCGGAGATTCTTTGCGGCTTGTCGACCGAAGTGCATTAACGCGTCGTCGGGGCTTAATACGTGACAGCTAAAAACAGGATGAAAAAAGACAAAGAAAGACAAAAAAAGAAGAAAGCACGCGCGAATAAACAACGAGCGGCGCGAATTGTCGACGGGCGAGAAGAGTGCGCGGCGAATATACACTACTCAAAAAAATTATGGCATTAAAAAATATGCGCTGAATATTGCTCAACTTTGAACAATGATTACTCAGCGACAAATGGTCGTAAGACGATGATTTTCTTTTTAAATTAAAGGTTGAAGTCTCAACTTTAACATGCTTTCGGTTGATTTTAGATTCAATTGATTTCTACAGCGTGCGATCCCATAATCCAATGTTTCTGATTAAAAAATTTGCAAACTTTAACAAAACGCACAGGCTTGGGTAGTCTTTTTTCGAAAATACTATTTGCGGGAAATGGAAGTTTGATTCTTCCCCTTTAATTTAAAAAAAAATTCAAGTTTCTACAATTTTTTTTCGCGATTTTGCAACGTTTTAAAGAAACCCTTACATTTTCGTTACTGAAAGGGTTTGCGTAGCTACAATGTATGTTCAATAATCTTTGGCATTGGCACACTGCCGACTCCGGGGGATCTTTTCGTGGAGTTGTCATCTGTTGTCTTCCCTGTCCCTCTCGGGGTTGTAAACTACCTGTTTCCCGGAAATGTAAGCAAATTCGCGAAACCGCGGATTGGTTAATACCGAGTCGCCTCGCCACATTTGCGACGCCTTTGCGAAAAGCCTTCGCTCATAAGCGCAATAATTAGTGCTCTCTCGTTGAGCCTGAGACAATGGATGCATGTTTCTTTATCATAAAACACTACCATGAACTACCTTTTACACTTAAGTTTTACACTTGATGCAAAAATTCGGTATCCCATTAGGTAATGTCAAAGTTGGCAGTGATTTCCTACAAATTCTACCTTCAATAACGAAAATGTACGGGTTTCTTTAAAATGCTGTAAAATCGCGAAAAAAAATCGTAGAGTTGAATTTTTTTTTTTTAATGAAAGGGGAAAAATCAAACTTTCATTCCCCGCAAATGAAAATTTCGAAAAAATATTACCCAAGCCTGTGCGTTTTGTCAAGGTTGCAAATTTTTAAATCAAAAACATGCCATTGAATTATGAGATCGCACGCTATAGCAATGAATTGGAAATCTAAAATCAACCGAAAGCATGTTAAAGTTGAGACTTCCTTTAATTAAACCTTTAATTAAAAAAGAAAAGAAGTCATCGTCTTACAACCATTTGTCATTGAGTAATCATTGTTCAAAGTTGAGCAATTTTCAGCGCAAATTTTTTGATGCCATAATTTTTTTGAGTAGTCTATAAACCGATCCCCTCATAATATAACTCGCTATCGACAACGCGCGGCGCGTATATCTCGCGCGTGCATTCGATCATTCCCTCTCGAAACAAACAGAATTATCGTAACGGAAACTGCATGCGGCCTACGTACAAACAATCGAGCGGGCTGGGCAGCGATTATCGTATTATGTGCAAACACACAGCCCCGGTTGCCGTATGTGCTTTTCGTTAAATCACATTTATGCATTGCTGAATCGCGACACAGCCGCGCCACGTCGGCCGAAACTCGTCAAGAGCGCACACGAGACGACGCTTGTTGTTCCCGCTGAACTTTGGGAAATTGGAAAACACTCATCGTGTATTCTATAACATTTCGATGTCGCTTCATCGTTGCCTGACCGAGTCCAGAATTGCAATTTCATTCTCACGCTCTCTCAGCGGCTCATCGAGTCCTCGAAGCGTATCGAATCAGCCAGCAAGAGATCGCTGGAAATTCCACTCGCCAGCCAGCTTCACCTCTTCGCGTTCAACGAACGCGAATTATTCATCGATCACGTAATCCTTCTTTCGCGAGTTTCATATTAGCGGAACGTTACTAGACGTATGACCGAGACTTAATATCGACTACCCTATACACTCTCGAGGCAGCTCGTGCAAATTAATGCATGCACTGTTTGCAGATGGCCAGAGGATCAGAGGTCGGGGTGGGATCGACCAGCGGAAGGGAAACCATGGCGGAAGCTGCAACGAACGCGGGGATCACCCAGAGCACGCAGAAATGCGCGCTCAGCAGGTTCCTGAGTTCCTTGTGCGCCTCGCATCGCTTCAAGAATCTGCAGGTCAGAGACAGAGACAGGATGTCGCCTTTATCTTTTCTCCTCCTTCGTCTCACGCGTTCCTCCCTCAATCATCGCGTGTCGATCGACTCGCTTTCGTTTCGTTCGAGTCGTCGCGAGTTCGACAAGCCACCGCGGATTAAGCGTCGTAAGTCTACGGCGGTGACATTCGCCGGAGAACCGGCGAGCTCTTACTATGCAAATCGAATCGGAGATTAATCTAAGTTCATCATGCGGCGGCACGCACGAGCGAGCGAGGGAGCAAGAGAACGATCGATTGAGTAAGTGAGCAAGCGTATCGAGCGCTGCCGATTGACGTGCGCTGCGCTGCGTAGGAGTGCTAATGCGCGTCAAAGTTCGCCAACTCGGTGCTGCAAGCGAGAGAGAGAGAGAGAGAGAGGGAGAGAGAGAGAGAGAGAGAGGGAGAGGGAGAGAGAGAGAGAGAGAGGAAGGGAAGGGCCGAGAGAGCCGATACTAGCCGGTAATACAAAATCGCGCAACAAGTTCCGACTGTTGGTCCCGGAAATCCGCGTATCGTAAAGTTGTTGCGTCGAGCAAACTGGTTCGCAACAGTTTCGAGCCACCGAAACTTCGCGGATCGTATTCGCCGTCCATTCCTCTTGTTCGACCGGCAACACGAATTTCGCGCTGAAACCGTTTCGCACGAGCGACAAACCGCCTCCGTCCCTCTCTCTCTCTCTCTCTCTCTCTCTCCCTCTCTCTCTCTCTCTCTCTCTCTCTCTCTCTCTCTCTCTCGCTTCCTCTCGCTCCAGCTGTCTCTTTTTCCGCCGCATAGCGCGCGGATGCGGCCTTGGCTAGACGTCGGTGGCCGGTGTGTTTCGTGGTTGGATCGTCGGTTTTGCACATCGGCGGAAATACAACATCGCCCTCTCCCCGTCGATGCTCATGCCCGCGAGGCGACGAAACCTGGCTGCGGCATGAACGACGCGGTTAACGCGTTTGGCCGGATCTTCGGCAGCTGTAGGGCTCAAATGGAAATATATATCGAAACGTCCGGCTCATCAAACGCAGCGAGCTCTGTAACGTGAACTTTTGCATTCGCGTGTGGATATGGTGGTGGCGCGTTGCGCGCGTGTTGTTTGAGGATACTGCACACGCTAGCTCGGAAAGATCGCGAAAGACCGAGGAAAATCCCGAGTGCAGCTCTCTGTTTTTTTTCTCTCCCCCCCGTTCTCTCTCTCTCTCTCTCTCTCTCTCTCTCTCTCTCTCTCTCTCGTGCATTTTAACGGGGCTCCCAGCAACAGGAAACGCGTGGGCCGCATTCTTTATTCAGCGAGTTTCGTGTCGCTCTTTCCGGCGGTAGCGAATTTCCCAACGCTCTCGCCGTTCCCTTCGACTTTAATTACTCGCTCGCTCGCGCGCGCGCGTTCCTGGCTGCAACGGTGTCGTGCGCGAGAAAGGTCGGTCCTCGCCTTTCGTCGTTGATGATTTCGTTCATCAGCGAAATCCTCAGGTCGTTCCTTACGCGGGCGGATCAGCCCGGCGCGGCGGAGTCTTAAGGCTCGTCTACGTTAGCTGTAAGAGTAAGGCTGTAAGGTTGCAAGATACGAAATGAAATACTTTCATTCGCTGACAGCTTACGTTACAGCCTTACAGCCTTACAGCTATTGTAGACGAGCCTTAACGAAACACGCGGGATTCAGCCGTCGGCTTGCTAATAGCATTGCTTCCGACTGCTGAATCTCGCATAAGGGTCTGCTAGCCCGCTCCGCAGCGCGCGGCGACTGGGATTTGAATAACCAGGTCATTGAAGTTGGCCTCGGGTCCGCACTCTTATCCATTAACCGGCAGGGCCACGGTGTATCTGCCCGGTGGTTGCCTCCGCGATACGCTCGAGCGAATGCTAAAGTAAACTTCCCTTATCTAATGTCAGCGATCAATAAATGCTATATATCGACATACCGACGCTACATTGTGTCTTCCTTCGACACAATGCGTGATCGATCTCTCTTCGTACACGTATAAAGTCTCTTCGCGTTACTCTACAGTACCCTGTACTCGCTTCCAGCGGACTCTCTCTGTCATCGACATTGGAATCCCCCGCGCGCGTGCATACGCAGATATCGTTAGTATCGTTAATATATACCGAGCAATCGTCAACATCACGCATACACGGTGTCATCGTTTGCACCGTCGAGGGGTCCCGAGTAGAAAAATTAATAGGGCTCTGATGAGGGTCTGTTTATTTTTCCCCAACATTAACCGGGCCCTAGTAGGGGTAGAAAGACGAGGGTCCTACAAAATGTGTAACAAATGGTTTAACGGGTCCTTATAAGGCAATATTATGAGGGCCTTATAAGGAAATATTTTTATTATTGCTTGAGTAAAAATATTCGTTCTCCTTATTCCAAGAAATGTAGACCGCAATTTCTTCAGTTCTTTATAACCTTGTTAATACGCAACAAGAACTTGTTATTTTGAAAATGTAGCATACCTTACATATTATAAAATATAGCATTCTTTACATATAAAAATCCTGCTACTGTTTTTAAAACTAATAAAACTAATAAAATTTGTTTCTAATTGCGGTATAATTAAAAAATCTTTAAAAGAACCAGATAAAAAGCAGATAATCTACTAAAACAATACTAAATTATGACAGTTTTATTACACGCTTATTAATTTTCTAAAACTTAATTTTGTATATCTAAAGCATCCTCTTAAAAGATCCATCTCGGGGCCTGATGTGGTAATAATGAGACATCCATTTTTAGGGCATCCTACTTTCAGCCTTATCGGGGGCTTTATGCTTCATAAGGATGGTCCTAACAATGTTTCTTCGGGATATAATGACTCGACGAGGGAGGCGGGGGTGAAATCCAACTCGAAGATAGACGTCGACGGAGACGTCTGATGGGTGTGCGGGCGAAGTTCGAGGAATTTCCGAATCGACGTGGTGCTGCCAGGGCGGAGTGTCTCGCACGTGGCGAGCCCGCGATGACGATCCGCGAATATACAAAATTACCGCGCGACTGTCGCGAGATACGTGACAGTATAACTGGAAAACGGCGCGAACTTGTCGATGCTCTTCGAGCGATTCCCGTGGGAATGACTCGCATTGTCTGGTCACGTAGACCCGAAGCTGCCGCGGGGGAGGAAGAGGAAGAGGAAGAGTAGGAGGAGGAGGAGGAGGTCGGACAGTTTGCAGGGAAAAGCCGTGGACGCGACTGGCGTCCATTTGATTGCGTTCGCTCGAGAGACATTCCCGACAGCGACGCGTCTGGGATGTGTCTTGCTCGATGCATCGCTCGATCGCGTCACCGCCGTTCATTTTTCCGTCCGACAGGACGACTTTCAAGGGACAGCTCCGACCATCGCGTTATTTTCCGATAGCGTACGCTGTCACAAACCCGACAATATGCTTGTTTTTATCGACGTGTCAAAGCGCACGTCGGAGCGCCGCAATAACGCACGTGACATTGTATCGCGCTGCGCGCTCTTGTGAGCGAAGCGCATTCATTCCCGCTGTTTTTCGCCGAAAACGTGTCATAAAGTGCGTGATACAACGCATGCTTTCAGATAAAATCGGAGATTTTCACCGGCGCGCCGCTGTGATTAATTCGGCCGCGGCTTTCGCGCGAGCGCGGATGAAAACGCCGTTGGCCCACGAGCTCTCGCAAATGAGAGTGGTGATTCGGAAAATAAAGAGATTTTTGCGAATTAATTTCCAGTAATGCGAGAAGGTAAGGAAGCTTCGCCCAACGCCGCGTTTAATTTTGTACGATAGGCAAACTCGATACGAGAGTTATTACCGCATAATGAGAGTTTCATTTCGCCAAATGAGAGTAACGCGGCGAAATGGGATATGCGGAATATAAAAAGATATAGACGTGTACGACAGAGGTAGCACGAAAATACGACGAAAATAGAAAGTTCTCGTCGGTGAATGTTAAAAACACCAAGTGTATACAACACGAGCCCGAGTAGGGCGGAAGGAAGAAAATATTTCTTCCGAGAGCTGGTGCGACACACACAAAGTATGCAAATGAAGGAAATTCCTTACGAAATTATGCTTTGCGCCTGGAAATATCTCGGTCATATGTAATTACTCACATTTCGCCGTATGACAGAAGTTAATCGTTTCTCTCTCTCTCTCTCTCTCTCTCTCTCTCTCTCTCTCTTTGCGGATGGAAAGATCCCGTTATATCGAATTAGTATTTCATCGGCCGTTTCAACATTATTATCGCGAGAATGAAAAAAGAGGAGACCAAAAACTAGCCGCTCAATTAGCCGTCCTATCGTCGACCTGCCATTATTAATGGAGAACTCTGTCAAAGAGAGATGGAGGGAGAAAGGAAGAAGGAGGACAGTCTCGATGGAAAATCGTGCGTTGCGCCGTGCGTTTCGTTGTTGTATTTCGTCAGCGCGAATGGCGGCATTTACGTACTTCCCTTCTCGAGACCTTCTTTTCCGGCGAAGGATGCTTGCCGAGACTGCGCTTTCGATGAGCAGCGCACACAAAAGGCGCGTCTTAAATAAAACTTATTCACCGGGAGCGACAACGGCCTTAATCCGCCCAATATTTGTCATTCCGCCGCGATCGTTTGCCCGGCTTAGCAATCGCGAGAATACAACCTGTGAATCGCGGCGAGATTGCGCCGAGGACGAAAGTCGCGCCTCGATTATCCGGCTGTCTCAGCGGATACCGGTGCACCGCCGGCGAGATAGACGATGAAACGTGAAGATTCGCGTGGCGGCAGCGGGGGCAAAAAAGGACACCGAGGACGGCTCTCCACCTTAGGGGTTGTTGCCCTCTATCGTCCCGTCGTTTGCTTTCGGCTTGACGCCGCAAACTTTACGACACCCTTCGTTACGTTTGCTTCTCTCTTTCTTTCCCCACCCTCTCTCTCTCTCTCTCTCTCTCTCTCTCTCTCTCCCCCGACAAGACCGTCATTTTTCGTGCGACGTGGAGAAATCCGAGCGAGCAGACCGCTTCGGATTATGAACACGCAAACGAGATCGAACGTGGGCAACACCCTTGTTGCGGATCGAACACGAAGCAAGCGCTACGCGTCACAGATTTTCGCAGGACACCCTCCCTCTCCTCGAAATTTCCCTCCGACTGGAATAATACAAACGACCGTGTGCGAGACGGCGATAACGCCGGTCGCTTCCGGAGCTCTTTCGCATTGCACAGCGTTGTTCCGCAGTGCCGAGTTATTTATCGCGCGTTTTATTTATATTAACATTGTCTCGCGTAATATTTGATCGCGCACACATCGCGCGATGCTGCCGAATGCACCGAGCGATGGAAATTTCATGGTGAATCTTAGCGCTATATTTCGCAAGCGCGCTCTCGAGAGCCGCCTGCGTAACGTCTGCTCGAGGAAAGCGCGAGCGATGCTTTCCCGATTCCGAATTCCCAGGTGCGCCTGCGACAGGCTCGCGCGTTTCACGCCGGGAGATAAAAATATTAAGCTACCCGATGATAATCACGTGGGACGCCCGGTCGATCGCTATGGCTACTCTGATAACGGCCGGCCGGTCGAGCCGAATGACGCTAATTCCGTCCGCGGCGCGATAAGTTGCCTACACCGCCGACGAGTGAGAGAAAAAAAAGCGCAAGCTGCAACCGGCTGTTCATCGATTGGACAGACTGTGTGTGCGAGCGTTATCTCACGGCAGCCCCTTCGCGATTCTCTGGCTTATCTCCGCCTCCGACGAGTTGGATTTCATTCTCGAAATCCGGCAGAAGTTAACAGACGAAAGCGGGATGGTCGCTCGCGGCGTTTCCCTCGGCGAGCGCACGACGAGGGCGATGAGCGAAGAAAAGTCGCTCGGGGGATGTTCTCAAAGATGAGGAGACGGGAGAGCGATACGAACTCGGTGGTGCTGTATAGAGGAGAGGAGGCTCTGCGGTGTACAATGCCGGGAAAAAATAAAAGTAAGAGCGGGCAAATAAAAATGCCGGAGTCGCGGAGGATAATGAAACGAAACCGACTGAAACGCGACGAAGGATCGATTTTCCGCGCGGAGTAAGTCGCGTAGATGATATCCGCGAGCTTATAAGATCATAAGGGGAGGATCATAAGGAGAGAAATATGCGAGATCGCGCCGCGTTTGAACGTATCGTCGGAGTCGCGTCGGAGAGAGATTTCGCAGGAGTCGTTCGCGGGATTACGTTTGGCTCTGCTGTGCGTTATGTATTATTAAGCGCGCAAAAAATAAAAGCAAATCGAGTCGCTCTGGCGGGCGGGCGTGCGCGCGCGGATCTTCTTCCCTCGGCTCGGCTGTTATTTGACTCGGAGAGACTTGATTAAGTTACGCTTTCGGCCGACGGGAATGTTCGCAAATAGCGATTCTCGCGGCGCGTACAAATTGCAGCAGCCGTGCGCGGCGGCTGCGCCGCGTAAAATCCGACGTCGCGGTAATGTAATATGTCAGCGGGCGCGAGTCTGTGCAAATAGATACCGTTGCGACGATATAAATTTCAAACCGCTTGCCGATCTCTTTGGGGAGAGACCCGCGTAATACGCCCCGCCCGGCGACGCGACGCGTCCGCTCCTTCCCGAGCTTGATATCATATATAACTGTATCGTTACTTTACTGTGCCTCATTTTTTCGTATTTTTCTCCCGTGCCCCTCGTGCCTTCTGTAATTGTATCTCGCTCACAAAGGGACTCGTCGTCATACGAGAGCAACGCCATGTGGTATTACGCAATAAGGTAATGAATTTCTATATCATATGGTATAATCGCGCGCGCTATATTCGCGAGTCTTGTATTATGTTATTAAGTATACATATGCACGTACATACGTATGCAAACGTCATGAATATTATTACAGATGCTGGTCACACAAATTTCCCTTTTTATCAAAGTTATACTCACGCATATAGCGGTGCGTATATAGAAGCGCGTATAGAAGCGATATCCGGGATATGTATTGATTATATTACATATAAAGTTCGCGTTGGAGTTAAAGTACAGCGTAATTTGATTACAAAATGTGCTGCCGGTAAAAACGGTTAAGAGGATAAATGCCGGTCACGAAGAGCTGTTGCGACTATCGCAGTGGCTGCAAAAAAGAGACAGACAGAGAGAGAGAGAGAGAGAGAGAGAGAGAGAGAGAAATCCCCACACGCTCGCAAAAAATATCGCGTTGTCCCCAGGAAGAAAAAAAAGAGGAGAGAAATTACCTTATGTTTCATATTTCTCCCGAAAACAGCGGAGCGCGCGCAAAAAAATTCATGTCCCGGACATATTCGCGATCCTGTCCGTCGATACTTTCTCCCGCACACGAGGAGCAATTATCGAGGCGTTCGAAACGCATCGATGACCTCTACATTAGAAAAAAACGGTATTGGTAACTATAATTATAACGCAGCTGAGGAATTATAGTCAAGAGAGCCATTTTCGTAGCCATAAATGTCGCTGCAGCGTCAACGGTGACAACCGCAATATATGCGTATTACGACGGTAACTTTTTGTCAGGATAATAAAAGGTCGCAGTCGGGGCCAAAATGGATTGCTATAACAAGTTTAGTAATAATAATGTTCTGCTCTCGGTGCATATAATGCTATCTCTCCGAATCGGTCCGAATAAACGCAACGGACCGATCGGTGATACGCCAAACATGCCTATGTGGTGGTGGTGGTGGTGGTTGTAGGCTTTCACGTATGCCGCGAGGTACATATCGCGATATACATTTTTCCGCCTCGAGCGGTGCGATTCCGATAGATGGAATATACGATAGGAATGCGCCGCGCGTGACTGCGTGTATCGATAAACGCGCGCGCGCGCGCGCGGTATATATTTCTGTTGGATGGTTTAATCAACGGATTTAGCAGCAACGCTTCGGCGAGCGAGCGCGAACCTCGCGCATCCCGCGCGCTTTTCCGCGCGCTTCTCGCGCTCGCAAAGTCGGCTTTCGAACGACTGCGCGGACGCGCGCGCGTCTCGGTTCGCCGACGCAATTGAGGGATTTGCGGCTGTCTTCCAGGTGGAGATGCTCTACCAGCGCTACTTCCTGCGCATGAACCAGAGCAACATGACGCACGTGCTCGGCTTATTGGCCGGCCTGGTGCTCGCTTTGGGTCTACTGCTCGTCCTCAAGCTGCATCTCACCGACGGCCAGCAATTTTTCGCGCAGCTGCAGAGAGCCGAGAATCTGTTCCTGGCGATCACTCTCGTGGGCTGCATCGTGGTTTACGCAGGTGAGAGGATCTCCGCGGGATCCACACGTTCGGGGCTATACCGAGGATGAGAGTGCTCGCTATTCGCGCCGGCGCGGCGCGACCACGGCTGTAAGCGGTGAAGTGAATTACACAGTCGGGACGATTATTTCCGCGGCGAGCGCTACCACAACGATGACAATATTTTCACTTCACGCGGCCGTTTCTACCTTGCAACTTTTCCCGTTAGAATGACGGGAAAATGTGGTCGCGGCGCCGAAACGGCGTGACTAACCGCTGCTGTAGACGAATAATCAAACGAAACAGTTTCTTCTTGTCTTCATTCAACAGCCCGAATTTTTCAACATGCGCGTATATACATAATTTTATACAATTGTATATTTAATAATGTATAATTTATATACATCATTATGTATAAAATCTCTCTTCCGATCGTGTTTACATGAGAATTTAACGAGTCGCGGCGAGACTATTTAACGACTATTGTACTCGTCGACTCGTGTTGAGCGTATTTTTCTCTCGGTGCAACTCTTTTCCTTCAGACGAGGACAACGCGAGACCGAGGAGCGTTACGTCTCCCGTTCGCTGGCTGAAAAATTCCCACTTTTCTACCTCTTCTAGTTCTTGTGGTGGCCATCTCCCGGCCGGGTATGAACGAGATATGGCTGGCGGGGGTGAGCGGCATGGTGCTGGTCACCCTGTTGGCCCTGCAGGTGACCTTGAGCCTTCACCTGGCCCACCTGCATGAGGCGAGCCGCATGACTTCCGGCGACACGGCGAGATCGAGGACTTCCCACACCGGAGGACCCCTGGCCGCCGCCTTGGCGGTCTGCTTCTTCATCTACATGGCCTACGCGCTCTTGCCGATCAGGCTGCGGCACGCCTGCATCGCCGGAGTCGTCTTTTCAGTGGCTCACATCATCGGAGCCTTCCTGCTCTACCCGAAGGACTACCCGGCCATGGTCGAGCACGTGAGTCCAATCGTCCTTCCGGAATTTCGCCACGTCGCAGAAAACGCCTTTTCGAACCTCTTTTCTTCCTCTCACGAGCGCGCTACCGGCTAGGCAAACTCGCTCGCGCGGCGATCAAAACCGGCGGTTTCGCGGCGACAATGCTTGCCGATTGAACGCTTCGCGATTGGCGGGCACACATGCGGCTTTCACGCGCGACGCGCAACGACTGGCGGAAGTGGGTTATCCGATGATATTAATTAATCAATGTTACGCGCGCGCGAGACCGACGATGAATTTCCGACGCGCTCGGCCACTCAGAAGCCGCGCGCCGCGCGGTTCTTCATCTGTATTCCGTGTCCGGATCCTGCTTATTAGAGAATCCTCCCTCCTCCCTCCGCCCTCTCTATCCTCGAACACGAATCGTATGTCGTGTACGTCGTTCTACGTGTATTGCCGGAGTGTATGGTGATTTCTGATGAAGATTACGTCTCTCTCTCTCTCTCTCTCTCTCTTTTTTTGTCCCTCTCTCTCTCTCTCTCTCTCTCGCTTTCTTTGGCTCTGGAACAAATCTCGGGAATATTTTCCATACGAGATTTTTTCGCGGTTAATATGTAAGAAGGTGTTATTCATATTCACGTGCACGCAGTACAGCAGCGTATGGCGCGCGTTATTTTCAGGCGAGTCTGCGGAAGATGAATCGATTTTCTCGGGCCGTAAAAATACTCAAATATCCGGTTCCCCTCGGCCGAGTCGCAATCGCGCTGCAATCTTCGCCCGATATTTTCCTCGTTTTTATAGACCGACGGATAAACGTTCCGCGGTCACGGCGATAGAGAGAGAGAGAGAGAGAGCCGCGCGAGAGAACGCTCGTTCCTCAAACGCGACGCGACGCGACGCGCCGGCCGGGATATTTTTTCGCGACCTTGCCGCGCGGCGCGGCGCGGCGAACGGGGGCGACGCGCGAATAATGGGCGTATATTAGCCGAATTACCGCCGTAATCAATACACATCGCTGCAGTAACGGTCGGCCTGCACGAAGTGCGTGATACAATAATACCCGACGAGCGTTGCACGCATCTATTTATTAACAGATTCGCACAAAGCGCGCGCGCGCGGTCGCACGAATGCCGGGACGAGGCGCGTCGTTCGCAAACACCGGCTCGACTGAATTGGAAATCTAATTAGAGCGGATCTCGATCCGACTCGGTATTTGCCGCGGCACGTTTTGACATGGCGGTAATGTCATTTCTGTCGTCGAGTTTCGCGCGTAAGTGCTTTCGCGAACGGGATTACTTGAATCCCAGAGTTGCCTGGACGACTCTCACACGCGCGCGCGCACACACACACACACACACTACCGTGCGTAGGGGGCATTAATAGAATAAAATCTGCAGTCTCTTAATCCCGCTAACGAGAATAATCATTTAACGGCGACCATAATTAAAGGGCCGCTAGTGCAAACGAGCGAAACGTCTGCGGCAATTGGAAAGCTCAGCCACTCTTACGATTGCACTCGTTCGAAATCCCGCCGGCTGATTTTCCCGCCGCGGTCAGAGAGTGCACCGGACCGTCGCACTGATAAGGGATGGGAAAATAAATCAATGCCGCGAGGAGAAGCCAAAGGAAGCCAAAGGAGAGGAGGCTCTGTTCATTGTGAGATCTCGTGGAAAGGGTTCGGTCTTATTGCTTCTCCCTTTGGGTGAACGTCTCCATCCATCAAGTCTCCCGGTCGGATTCTTCTCTTTCTCTCTCTCTCTCTCTCTCTCTCTCTCCCTCTCACTGTCTTGAGCACGCTCTATTTAAGTTTTATTACATCGAAAACTTGACATTCCTGCCGCGAAAGAACGTAATTACGGACGCATCGAGACCGCGTTGCCCGTCGTCGGCCGAGAGAGAGAGAGAGAGAGAGAGAGAGAGAGAGAGAGGGCGAGCAGAAGCCTCGCCCTCTTTGTAGACGTCCACCGTGACGCTTGCGAGTTACGACGGGCTTTCTTGTTTTAATAACTAAGGCAACTCCGCGCGTTAGTACGGCAGCGGGAAAAGTTGAAAATTGGATGATTCCGCAGCCGCTTCGCGACAGCCGACCTTCGTTCGAGAGACAAAATATCCGTTGCTAAGACCTCGAGACACAAGTTGCGTTTTCCGATCCGACGCTCCGGCGGTGTCGGCGGGGCAATTGAATATTACAGAGCCGCGTTGAACAGTAATTTCGGCCGCTGCCACCAAACGAGGAAACTTCTCCCCCGCGTTCGACCGGCGCGGCGCGGCGGCCGCGCGAGGGTTCCGCCGGACTGCAATTCGAAGGACCCGCGTTCTCGCGTATCGGAATGAACGTTATCTTATCTCACGTATTTGATAGCAACGGTAGGCTCAGTGTGGCGAACTGTTGCTACTCGCCGAGTGATCGCCTTCAAAGGTTGGCTCTTTCAATACACCCGCTGGACCGGGGATGTAGTTCGGCGAAAGACGTCGCCATTGGCGTTAATGGGGATGGACATTGCGCTCAAGGTTTGGCGATCGCATCGCCTTTGAGATTCTCGCCCGGTTCTGGCGGACCCGGCTCCGACGGCTTGTTTCGGATAATTGTCGCTTTTCAATAGCTACTCGTCGTCGTCGTCGTCGACGTCGTCGTCGTCGCCCGTCCTCGTTGTGGACCGCCGCTGTTCCGCCACGATATCGGGTGATTACCGTCTCTCTGTTGTGTGCGCAACTAGCTGACCTATTTCGTATTTCGCGAAAAGCGAAATGTGTGCGTTAAATACATATATAATATATATATATATATATATATATATATATATTTATACATGTGTGTGCGAATATATAAAGAGATATGTAGAAATATGTACGTGTGCATGTGAATGAGTATTCGAAGTCTCAAGTGACTCTCTCGCGAAATGATGGAGAAATCGCGCGGTCCATTTTCCAAATATTCGACGCAGCCCGGCATCGTGGAACTGTTCGAAAGGTTCGGTTTACCATCGGTAGCGCGCACAATTGTTTCTCGCGCATCGGAAATGCATACTGCGCGTTTTCGAGCAAATGTTATTTGTTTCGAGTACCTCGTAAGTCTGTATATTCCACAAATCTGTCACAAGTTCGTCATAATAATACTAATTTCACTCGGATCGCGCATATTTCCAATAGCTCGTAAGCTTCGATCAGGAATATTAAATTCAGGAAACAAAAATCCGCTTCGCCTCTCGGGCGGAGCGCGTAATACTCTCGCGAAAGAGGGAATAAATTCTTTTCTCCAGCACGTGATAATGAGCTTCTTCCGAGATCTCTGATGAGAGATATATGTTTTAAAACGATCATCAAGGGAATATCCTTTGTCGAAGGTAACTACGTTACGTTAAAAGAGGAGAGCAAACCGACTAAACGTTTTTCCAGCGGCGAAACGACGTTTGCCTCTGCGCAGATTTCTATTGTGTTTCCCAGAGTAAGCGGAATAATTCCGGGCGGAAACTTTCCCGAATAGTTTCATTATGCTCGGCCACATGATGAGCGAAATATATGCGGAAGGACCTCTCTCTTCTTTTGGCAAACTTAAAATTTCGCTTCTGACGAAATTCTCTCTCTCTCTCTCTCTCTCTCTCTCTCTCTCTCTCTCTCTCGGTCATCTGATTTACGCGACTGCCGCATATACAGTGTGCTAAATTTCAAACGTAACAGGTAAAAAAACTCGAAAACTATGAAAGATATTAAAGAAAGCTAAAACACCATGATTTCGAAGAGGAAAGAGAATGGCATTATCAGTTTTTTATTTGGAGGGCATTTTCAAGGTCAGTTGAAGGTCAACTTAATTTTTTAAAATAGAAAGCCCAATTTTTTATTATATCTTCTTTTTCTATCAATTAATTTGAACAACTTTTGTCTGAAACATTTTTTATTTGCTTATATTTGCATATTTTTTGAAATATTTTAGGAAAACTTGGTAACTTTTTCAACATTTACCTTACGATATCTCGCTAATTATTCGTCGAAAGAAAAAATAGTATTAGACTTTTTTACTTTATTTACTATCAAGAATATATTACTATAATAGTGCCCTGACTTTTGTTAATTTAATAATTTTGAAATTTCCAATGGTCGATAAGTTAACAAAAGTTAGGGCACTATTATAGTAATATATTCTTGATAGTAAATAAAGTAAGAAAAAAGTCTAATACTATTTTTTCTTTTGACGAATAGTTAGCGAGATATCGTACACAGTTAAAAACGTTTCATACTTTTGTTAAAATTTTTCGTGTGTAGAAAGTTTTGCGTTAAATTTTTTACACAATCGCGCGTTAATTTAACACATCGTTGTTGTGTTACTTAGACTTTATTGTATTAAATTAAGATTAACTATTTTCAAGTGTTAAAATAACATTTTCAGGTGTTAAAATAACACAATTTATATGTAAATGCATGAATTCTTGCTATGACATATTTTACATGTTAAAGTCAACAGCTAAAATGTGTTACTTTCCTCATTATAACGGTTATCATGTATTATCATGTTTTTCATCTGTCTCCTGGTATATAAAGATTGGATTTTTAACACATAGGTTACGTCAATCTAACATTTTCATTTTATCAAATCATAGATCATTACTTTTCCCAAATGTTGAAGTAACATTCATTATATGTCAATTTAACACAAACTGTGATTCTTGATGGCATTCAAATGTTAAATTCTTGTGTTAACTTTTTACTTATGTTATGCGTGTTACTTTTTAACATATTTGCTGTATGTTAAATCAACACATAAATGGAGTGAATGATTTGAGACACATGAAATATGTTAAATTTAATACATCATTTCCAACAGTGTAAGTTAAATGTTGAAAAAGTTTTCCTTAAATATTTCAAAAAATATTAAGCAAATAAAAAATGTTTCAGACAAAAGTTGTTCAAATTAATTGATAGAAAAAGGAGATATAATAAAAAATTGGGCTTTCTATTATAAAAAATTAAGTTGACCTACAATTGACCTTGAAAACGCCCTCCAAATAAAAAACTGATAATGCCAT